CAAGCTTGGTTCTCTCGGCACTTCTGCCCTGACCGGCGAACAGCTCCGTTTTGAGTTTGGTGGAAAATGTATGGAGCTTCATGGTGCGGAAGATTTACGCCCAAAACAAGTAACTCCGAGGCGTCAAGGAGTTGAAAAAGCGATAATCGAAGCATGGTACCAAGTTGCCCAGGAGCTGACCGATAATTTTCTTATTCGAGCCTAGACCACCGTATTATCAATGTAATTCGAAAGAATGGTGGGGCAGCTGATTATTGACTTTGCAACTTTCTCTCCTTGTATGATCGTTGTTAAATAAACTAATTTTTTGAGTGGCTGTACCATTTGACGACGTTAGACAAGCACCTTTTATTGAAAAATTGACCAAAAAAATGTTTGTTTTCGAGCTGGAATATGGTGATAATGTGCGAATTGCAATTCAAATTTGACACATTTTTTACTTTGGCAGTTTTTCAGAAACATCGTATACTGTGAGTTTTTGCGAAAATCTGAGGTGGCTGTATCATTTGGCGACGCACTGTACTTTAGCTCCCATATCTGCTCTGGTGCTGTCAATTCGTCTGCTTTCAAAAATTGATGAAGCCTCGCAATCATCCAGCAGCCTTTGGTTTGCTTTGCTTGAACTCGGGCGAGGTTGATAAAAAAAACTTTATTCCGGCTTACCTTTCGGCGTGGATCGCCTTCCTCAGAGCCTGGAACGATCGAAGCAATTGATGATTACCCGGTCAAACGTATCAACTACCTTAAAGAAATTCGAGACCTCAGAGATCATCACGCAACTGTAAGTTGGGCCACTTACCGTTGATCAGTCCGATTCGCGCGACCACCCAGAAGCTAGCAGCGGTCCAGTAAGCTCTTCTGACTACATGTGATTCAGACTCACTGGTGGAAGGCTAACCTTATATACGGTCTGAGCTCCCGCGTGATTGTGATACACTCTTCCTTCCGGTTCATTTTCGGTCTAGAGACCTGAATCCAGAATGCCTCGAAGGTTTTTCGTGCGGGTGTTTGCGATCCTCGAAAATTTGCGAGAATTTTAAAATACCCTAGTTGCTCCGCAATGCTATCCTAGCACCTGGCACGGGGTCGGTCACACGGCATCCCTCTTGTTGCGTGGCCCATTCTTCTTGCACAGGGTTTTCTTATCTTTCACTCAGATTGTCTACAAATCCACCACTGTGCCTTCAAATCCTCGGCCGTGACCTCGAAGTCGGTCGGCTCCATGGTGAGCTTCCACCCTGTAGGCGCCCAATGCAGTTGACATACGTGACCTAGCCTTGCCCTCTAAGTGCTCCTTGATGCGTACGCATAACGGTCTTGATGTTTCGTCGATATATACCTCTCCGCAACTGCAACATGTGATCTTGTAGACCATCCCCGCAATTGTACAGTCGCCTTCCTTGCCGGATGGGCAGACCACACAATTAGGGGTGGTACATGAGCGGTCGTAGAGCCTATTGCGAACCAGCCGATGCTTTAGGTTGTAGGGGGTACATCTATAATGGCAATTAGATTTTCTAGACCCGACTTCCTCAGACACTTCCTTATGGAAGTGCTAACCTCATCAGAGAGGAATGGTACTATGAACGGAATTTGCCGCTCAATAAGGTACCACGGGGTCTGTTGTTAGTGACCGCATTTCTTCCTCTGTGGGAGGTCGAAGAATGTACATAGCCATTGAGCGCGCTATTTCGTGTGCCATCTTCACTGATTCTTTTCGCTCATTTTCTCCGCTGCAGACACTGGCCACTGTACGGAACATATTCCTTACAACGGCCCGCTTAATATGCAAAGGATGAGCCCAGTGGCAATGCACGATGATATTCTTGTTGCTGGGCTTCCTGTACCATTTCGTTGGAAGCATCTAACTGTGCAGCCCCACCTGTACATTCTGAAATGGAAGCCAGCTTTCAGAGGGTCGTCCTCGTGTCAGTCGGATGTGCTCGGATTGAGCGTTAAGTAATTAAAACAATGTCTCCTGTACCATTCCGTTGAAAGCATCCTCCTGTACCATTTCGTTGAATTTTAATTCGATTTTTAGCAGCCAAACCGTCTGCGCGCATTCGGTGATTCTGTTTCCGGGATCGCACGTCTTTTCTACATTTCTCGCATGACAGTCTCTTGTATCGCAATGCACGGACATATCACCTCTAGCCTTGCGCGTGGCAAAATGCGCGGCGAAGTTTGAGGCGATTTGAACGTTTTAGCGTCTATCATTGGTGCCCAAACTTGTAGTAGAGTAGATTGGTATCATCAGCTGACTCTACTCAACTACTCTAATTCGAGCTTGTACGCCAACACCAGGCGCCAGAATCGTTCGAATCACCACGAATTTCGTCGCGCAATTTGCTGCGCGCATCCTCGGTCGCACGTATGTACCATCCCCCCCCCCTCTAGCCAGAAAAGAGTGTGCCGGAGCGCGTGCCGCGCACAAGTAGCGCACGGCACTTGTTTTTTCTTCGAAACTTTTTCATCATGAAACTCATAAGGCTTTCGAATCCTATCTGAACACAATTGTGTTTACTCCGGGTAGACTCTTCCATCAGAGTGGAACACACAAACAAATCAGCAGTCATTTTTCTCGTATTTGTGCAGGTTCCGCAGCGTGCTCCTTCCCAAGTAATTGTATTCGGAAAAGAGGTCATACGTGTTGTAGGGTAGACCGGTTTAGGATGAAGACCAGCGAAAATGGACAATGGTTGAAAGTGGCGTGCGAAGAAGGAAGATAGAGAAGATACAAAATGATCTAGAAGAGGGATATAGGATTGTATAAAAGTGTGAGAGGGGAGCAATAAACATTCACTCGTCAGTATGTTCTCTCGCCAACCAACTCGCGATCACGAGGACTCAAGAAAGAAGACGCAGAAGAAGAACATCAACGCCAGACGAGGGGCGAATAAGACAGAAGAACAGCCTACCAGTTATTATAGCTAAGGGTCACAAGCACAAGGCCAGAGGCAGTCCACCCACCAACAGGAAAGGAGATGGACGAAAAGGGCGGTATAGTTGGAGCACCCACCAGGGCAATTGGTGTCACACCGGCCTGTCAAGACCCTGCTACGGCCCTCGATGTATACGAGGTCGGAGTCCAGGGCCATATGTGCCGGGGACTTCCTGGAATACCTGGTGGAGACTATTCCAAAACCTTCTGACCTTACGGAGAGTAACCGATGAGGGTGATAAACGCCTCATCTTTCTCCAAGAGGTCGGCGCTTCAAATTATGAGCTCTTAGAATCTTTGCTCCAGGGCAAAGAGCTAGAAACGGCTACAATGGTGGAGCTGAAGCAAGCTATGGAGCAGCAATTTCAGCCGAAGAAGCTGTTGATGACGGGACGCTTTGGACTCATGTCCAAGTCGCAGAAAGCTGGTCAAACGCTGCAGGAATACCACGCAGAAGCGCAGAAGGCCGCTAGTACATGAGGATTCGAGAAGGTCAAGGATATGCGGGATGCGACGGTGGCAATGGTATTCATTGGTGGGTTGGCATCTGTAGAAACTAGGAAGCGGTTGCTCGAGAGGGAGGAGTTAACATCGAAAGAGGTGTTTGGCATGGCAGAAGCAGTGGAAAGAGTTGGCAAGAACGCACCTCATTAGAAGCAAGGAGTCACTGAACTAGGAGTGGCAGCTGTTGCATCTAGAGAACCGAGACTCCCTTCTCGAGCGAGGGTGGAAAGACGGGAGAGCAGTTCAATTCGGAAGGCAGGTCCTACTAATACAGGGACCAGAGGCCGAAGTAGAACTGTAGGGAAACGAGCACGTGTTCCACCCAGTGGACCGCAGCAGAGTTAGGTATGCGGTGGTCTTGGACACAGCGAAACAATGCCTTTTCAAGGGTAAAGCGTTTTGCAATTTGTGTTCACGACCGGGGCATCTACCCAAAGTTTGTCGCATGAGGCAATGCCCGATCAAGGCATCCGCCAGATATACTGGTGTGCGGAGCATAGTGATTCCGAAGAAGAACAAGAAATAACGGTTAGTAGCGTACGAATAGCGAGATGCCCCAATCACATAGGAAATACCTCGCTCGAAAAGACGGGAGATCCTCAAAAAAGGAATAAAGAGTTTGAGGAATCTCCGATAAGTTATAGTAGAGTTGGATCAAGAGTGCGAATGGCCATAGAACTGGCCATAGTGATTCCCATTATGGTGAATGGGAGCAGAGTTGATTTTGAGCTCGATACAGGGGCCTCAGTTTCAATTATAGATGAAACAACCTGGAAGGAGATAGGCAAGCCCGAAATGAAACCGACCAAACTGGAAGCTACGGCTTACAATTACAGCCCTATCAGTTTTGACGGTCGATATTTAGTGAATTTGCAGTTCGAGGGACGAGCTGTAATGATGGAGGTCTATGTGTTACACACGGCCAACCACCCACTGCGTGGCCGAGGCATGATTAGGAAGCTCCAGATAGATTGCGGACCCCATGTGCGAAGCATGGAGGGAAAACCGTGTTATACGAAGGAGCAGTTGCGTGAGAAGATTAAGAGCCTACTAGAAGAAAACCAAGTACTATTCCAGAAAGGACTGGGTAGATGAACGACAGCAAAAGTGTCACTGAAGCTGAAAGAGGGTATAGAAAAGCCCAAATTTTGCAGAGTACGACCGGTCCCCATTGCTTTAAGGCCTAAAGTTGAGGCTAAGTTACAATTACTTTCTCTTTGAAAGCTCTACACCCTCAGTATAAGCTCCGTATTGGAAGCGATTTTTTCTGTAAACCATCTTCGCTGTGTCCGACTAGAACATCGTATAATATCAGAAAACGCGATTATTCAGAGAAAAAAGTGAGGCTTCTATGTTAGCTACCATCAATGTTCCCAGCCAACTCCTTGCGCCTTCACGTTTCATCGGTGTGGGTTTGAACGAACAGTATTAATTCACGCCCCGCCCTTTGGGGCGGAGTTTAATCCTGCAACCTATCCTGCCTCCTGTGTTCCTACCAAGTCGCTCTAGGTCCAATTTGACACTACTCTGCAAGCCCCGCCCCCTGTGAGCAGAGTCCGGCCCTGCCCCCCCCCTCCCCCACATAAGTGTTCATCCTGACGCCTGTACTCCTTCCAAGTTTGAACGCATAGGTTCACGGGGGCAGAAGTTATGAATTTCCGGCCAAATATACACACACACGCATGCACACACACACGCACACATACACATACACACATACACATACACATACACATACACACACA